TTACCTTTGTAATACAAACACAATAAAAATATCTTCAAGTATGTCACTGGTAAGTTTTACAAAGGAGAGAGTTAACTCTAAAATAAAGTTCTGTATACTTTCCATCTCAGACACTTTAGAAAAGTGGTCCCTGCTTCCCCTTTCCTCTAGTGAACTACTGTTAGAGCTTTACAGAGAGTGAACATGCAGATGAGTAGGGGTCAAATTAAACTACAGTCCGTGGCTACTCCATTTTGGATTAGGCTGGTACAAGATTAAAAGACATCTGGTAACAAATACTTAGTAGAGTCAGATAATAAGAGCAGGAAATAGATTGAATTAATTCAATCATATAATTCATTTTAAATCTTACAAAATACAATTGAAGTCTAAAGTAAACTCGCTATCTCTCAGAATTTATTCTGCATTTTTTTTTTTTTTTTTAAAGACAGGATCTCATGCAGGCCAGACTGGCCTTGAACTTACTACATAGTCAGGAAAATCATGAACTCCTAATCTCCTACCTCTACTTCCCAAATACTGGGATTACAGATGTGTGCCTCCATGCTCACCTTCTGTGATTCTTAACTGAACAACATAAACCTATTCTAGCATTTCAGGGAGTTTTAACTCCATCACTCTGGCACATCCAACTGCAAGTCCTACCAGTCGATACACTACAACAGAGTTGAAAGGAAAGGTTTTATTAACACTAAATGTTTCTCCTGCTGTCCATTGTATTTACAAAAATTTACCATTGTTCATAATACTAACATCACTTCTAAATACACTAAGAAAACATGCTATAACCAGTTAAAATTCCCCTAGACAAATACACTTTCTACAACTAGGGGGAAAAACAACCAACTCTTAAAAAGCAGGGCCCATGAAAACAACTATATTTTGTTTTAGGGATGTTTTTTAAAAAAGATTTTAACAGTTTCATTTAAAAAGCAACTCCAACACTCGGGAGGCAGAGGCAGGTGCATCTTTGTGAGTTCGAGGCCAGCCTGGGCTACAGAGTGAGTTCCAGGACAGGCTCCAAAGCTACACAAAGAAACCCTGTCTTGAAAAACCAAAAAAAAAAAAAAAAAAAAAGAAAAAGAAAAAAAAAAGAAAAAAGAAAAAAAGAAAAAGAAAAAGCAAGTCAAACTTAAGGGCCTTTATTTCGTTTTGCTTTAGTGGGTCCACAATAGTAAAGACACAGACAAGTTAAATACTTTTCTTCAAGAAATGTGTAACTAGGGAAAAACAATAACAATCTTACAATGGCAAATTTATTTCTTTTTAATAGTGATCTACAAGTAGATCAAATCCAAAAATCTTGGAGCTGAATTTTTTAGAATTTAATTTTTTTCTCCCAAGCTCATAAGCAATGGCTAACATCACTCAATAGAATCCAGACCAGCAAACAGTTATTAAACACATCAATATTTCTAGAGCAAAATATGATTGCTTGAAAAAGTATCTCATTTTAGTTTTGATCCAGAGTATCTACCAAAGTTAATTTCAAATCGAGTTTTGTGGCTAATGTATGATTTTGAAACTTTGTAAATTTTGAATAAAAGACAATGGATTCCAACTGATACATATAAATTGAGAAATACCTTAACTTTACTCTCAACAGTAGGTTGACCTAACAACAGTAGGTCTTACAAATCAATATGAATCTTGATTATCTTCTACTCTCCTAGGAAATCTGTTGATCTACAGCTTAGTCAAAGCAGTATGGATTTAGTTATTACAGCTCTGTATGCTGTATGTCTTCTAGCAATTCCTAACTCTTAGAGACGAGGAACTTATCCTATGTATTTCTGTAGCACATGCCAATCTATGTAATAGCTATTTATATTTATAACAATATCATCTGATCAAATATTTAATGTTTCTGCTATTAAATATATAGCCATGATAATTAAACCTGCACTTCTATATAATATCACTGTCAAATACAGCATAGCAGAAAGAATTTAGGAAGGCTTAATGAAGGTCTACATAAAGCACAAGGAATTACCTCTGGATTAGTTCCAAGTTAGAAGTTGACACTGAGTTGGTTGGTACGTTTTCCATTTTCTTGATCAATTTCAACACATATTTTTCAGTGATATGGCAATTTTAAATCTAAGTTGTTTTCTCCATTATTCCTTTTCTCCTAGTTTTGTTTTCCCTTCCTTCCTTCCTTCCTTCCTTCCTTCCTTCCTTCCTTCCTTCCTTCCTTCCTTCCTCCCTCCCTCCCTCCCTCCCTCCCTCCCTCCCTCCCTTCCTTCCTTTCTTTCTTTGACCACTTTGTAGGGGAGGTGGGGAGGAACTGGGAGGAGTAGAGGGAGGGGAAATGTAATCAGGATCTATTATGTAGAA